CTAGGATAACACCCTAGTACTGCATTCATTTCTTTGCATATTTGATGAGGATTAACGACAATCTTTTGCATGACGAGTAGTAAAATTCGTTTCATCAATAATTCAGGATACTCTTTCTTCATGTCAGACTCCAATTCCCATGTGAAACCTTCAACATCCTCTTTTCCCCATGCTATTTTTACCAGTTTTACAGTTTTGTTGCGAAGTTGCTTACTTTCCTTATCTATAATCTGTGCTAGAGATACATGGAAGGTTAGATCTTCCTTTAACTGTATGGATTCAAGTTTGAAGGAATGTGTAGGGTTAGGCTGATATTTTCTAAGTTGAGATACATGGAAGACATTGTGAAGATTTGACATATGTGGGGATAGAGCGAGTCGATATGCAACTGGCCCAATTCATTTTAAAATCTGGAAAGGACCAATAAATAGCGTGCTTAACTTCTTTAGTTTAATAGCCCGTACGACTCTTGTCATAGGCATAACCTTAAGGAATACATGATCTCCTTGAAATTCTAACAGTTTCCTTCTAACGTTTGTATAACTCTTCTAACAATTTTGAGCTGCAAGCATCTTGCTTTGAATCTTCTTGATTTGTTCTGTGGTATGATTAACCAAGTCCAGTCATAATAAACTTGCTCCATTTGATTCATACTAGCATAACGGAGATTGACATTTTGTAACATCCCCAATTTTGTTCTAACCATCTTGAATTGCCTGAATTAGTTAGCGTTTCTACACTTTATATTTTTTTTTATTTTTTTTTACTCAAAATATTTGTTGTTGTAGTTGAATATTTTTCATGATTAATTGATTTTTTTAGCCAAAGTTTTTTTTTTATGACTGTCTGATGTGTTAGAGTTCTTGCTCCACAATATTTTTATGTGGTGAAATACCTTGCACAACCTTAGGTTAGCAAGACTAACCCTAGGACAAAGTTGTCCTTAAGTCAAAATAGGTGGACCCCTTTTTTCTTCATGATTATTATTATTATTATTTACATTATTCTCTTAATTCATTTTACTTAACTATGATATATTCTCCTAAGATGGAAGAATTACACGTGTTTTTACCTCCATAACCATTAGTAATAAATCCCTCCCTTGCCTTAAATGTCCACTTGGCCCTAGTTAAGGGTATACATGAACCTTTTCATTTTTCCCTAGTACTGATGAATCCATATTTTTACTGATATTTTAGCATAATTCTAACTCATTTGATAAGGAAAATAAATGAAGAAAGCACAAAAACTCAGAATAAAAGAATGATTTGAAGTTTTCTTTCAATTTATAGTTATTTTAGAAATTGTGAAATTTTAGCTTAGAAATTAAGTTTTTGATCTTGTTTTTGAAGGAATAATTTGAGCAAGGGTCATGTGGATGGAGGCTTGATGGAAAGGTAGAGGAAAGTAGCAAGTCTGGACTCCAAAACACAAGAACAAGGAGATGTAGACTGGGCGTGATCACTATTGTTAGTGAAAGTGATCACTCCAGAGCTCAAAGAAGAAGTGAAGCCTGGGCGTTACCACTCTTACCAGCAAAAGTGAACGTTCCAGAGAGTGAAAATATCAGGATGCTCTGCGTTATCACTCTTATCACTGAGAGTGAATGTTCTAGAGAAGCTTCAGACTCAGCAGACTTGGCGTAACCACTTTTATCAGCAAAAGTGAGCGTTCCAGAGAAGGCAGAATTTTAGTATACTCTGTGTGATCACTCTTATTGGCGAAAGTGAGCATTCCAGAGAAGGTGAAGTTTCAGAGTTTTCTGCGTAACCACTTTTATCATTGAAAGTGGATGTTCCAGAGAGTCCTTAGCCTGGCAAGTTGCGCGTGACCACTTTTACTCATAAAAGTGATTACGCACAACGTCACGACCTTCTGCGTGGCTACTCTTATCAGTAAGAGTGATAACGCCAAGAATCGGGATTTCTATAAATACATGTTTTGAGCTCAGATCTCGGGGTCTTTCATTCATTTTCCATTTTTTCTGTTAAATTCTCGTTAGGAGAGAGTGAGAGAGAGGAGTGAGGTCGAACCTCGAAGCTTAAAGAAGAGGGATTGGATTGGAGCTCGTGGCTATGGCTTTTCTGAGTTTTTCTTCTTCTTCTCCTTCTTTCTCTTTCTCTGCCACAATGTCTCTGTAATTTCTTGTAGTTAGGGGTTTATGGAACTCGAATTGATGTATTGATTTGATTCTTACTTCTGAAATTCAATTATTTGGATTAATTGAGTTGTTAATTCTGCACTTTACATAATCTTTGAATGGGAATTCATTTGATTAATCTTAGAGGAACATTTGCCAATGGGAATTGGACTTGATTCTCTGATCTGAACTAACAACCAGAATTTGGGGATTTCTTAGGGATAAGGAGACCTAATTCTGCAATCTTATGGTTCTAATTCTTAATGCAACATGAAATTGAACTTCACCTAAGGGATTAGGGTGGTTTATTTGCTTGTTAAGGTCAATGAGTTAAAAGATTAACCTTTGGCTATTAATATGTGAAACTGATTGTCAATTAACCAAGTTCTTGAATGTTTAGAGACATAATTGAATTAATATTGATATTCTTGTGAAGTAAATTCCTAACTATTCTTCATTCCTATCTCATTTCATTACACATCTTATACTCTGTTTTTCTGCAAGTTCTTTACTTTTAATTGCTCTGGTTTGCTGCTATTACATGTTACAACTCTCCTTCCAAATTCGTATGGCTCAAATGGTTATAATTCTATGAAGTGGCTCTTGAAACCTAAATTCCCTATGGAGACGATATTCGGATCTTAATTTTACTCATTACTTGCTGCAATTCTAGTTCACTTGCTAGTGTTAGATTGCAAACAACAAGTTTTTGGCGCCGTTGCCGGAGAATTTTGTATTTCAATATCATTAGTAACAGAAAAATTGCTAGATTGAGTTCTTGATTTCTGAATTTTTCTCTTCAATTTTGTATTGCATAAAAGTACTCTGTTTTTCCTGTACTTAGATAAGTATAGAGAATTAGTAGGTAATTCTGTATGATTTTGCATTTCTGCATAATTCTACAGTTACAAATTTTGATATGATTTTGTTGTTATTTTTCTGCATTAGCTTTGTTAGTGTATATCTGACTATTGAATTTTAGTTTAACTTTGTTATGTTTTTGGTTGTATATGCAACGGAAAAACAAAAATAAAGCCACTTTGGTATTTGATCCATACATTGACCAAACTCTAAGAAGGTTGAGAAGTGAAGCAAGAATTAAACAGATTCAAAGAGAGGAAAACAAAAGTTCTACATCAACACTCCAACCTATTCAGATTCCAAGTCAAATAGAGATGGGAGAACAACCAAGACTGAGAACATTAGGGGATTATGCAGTTCCTAATCTCCAAGGATTCAACTCTTCTATTCTGAGACCTATAATTCAGGCCAACCACTTTGAGATAAAACCTGCACTTCTAAATCTGGTACAGCAAGACCAATTTGCTGGACACCATTCAGATGATCCAAATCTGCACATCTCTAATTTCTTACAACATTGTGACACAATCAGAATCAATGGGGTAAGTGAGGATGCAATCAGACTTAGATTATTCCCATTCTCATTGAGGGATAAAGCCAAGTGCTGGCTTCAAGCCCAGCCACAAGGTAGTATATCAACCTGGGCTAACCTGGTGAACAAGTTCCTAATCAAGTATTTTCCTCCTTCAAAAGCTGCAAAAATCAGAGGGGAGATTACATCTTTTGTTTAGCAAGAGGGAGAGCCATTGTATGAGGCATGGGAAAGATACAAGGAGTTATTAAGGAAATGTCCTCATCACTGCATACCTGAGTGGATGCAACTTGAAACATTCTATAATGGAATGACTACTGCAACTAAAACCATGATAGATGCAGCAGCTGGTGGTTCATTGAGTTCAAAAACTTTAGAAGAAGCTCAACAAATCATAGAAATGATGGCATCTTCGATGTATCAAAATATGAATGAAAGACAAGCTGCAAGGAGAGGAAGATATGATTTAAAATCCATAGAAGCCATGTTTGCTCAAAATCAACTTCAGAATCAACAATTTTCTGAATAGCTTGCTGCCCTGACTCAACAAATAAGTAATATGCAGACTGGTGTGGTCCAAAATTCATAATTGAGTTGTGATTTTTGTGGTGGTAACCATGTGAATGGAGCTTGTGATCCCACAGTTATAGAACAACCTGATCAAGTTAATTATATGGGCAACTATCAAAGGCCACAACAACCATATCCACCTGGTTTCCAGTTTAACAACAATAGAGGACAACAGTTTTCCAAGTGGAATCCACAGAATTCTAACACAAGAGGAAATACAGCTACTGCACCTTTCCAAAGTGTAGCTCCTTAAGTCCAACAACAATATTTTTAAGGAAGTTCTTCTGCACCAAATTCAAGACCCTTGAGTGAGAAAGTGAATGGAATTGAAGAAACATTACTGCAGTTCATGAAGGTGACAGAAATAAATTTTAAAAATCAAGTTCTATAAAGAAGCTAGAAACACAAATTGGGCAGTTGGCTGAGCAACTGGCCAATATAGATGAAGGAAGGTTTCCTAGCAGCACAATAGTGAACCCAAGGGAACAATGCCAAGCAATAACCACTCGAAGTGGAGCAGTGGTTTCCAGCCCAAGAAAGAAAAATGAAGTCACCAATTCGAAGGATGAAAGTGAGCTGATGCAAGAAGATTTTGAAAATGGAAAATATACTATGTTAAAGAGAGGAGATGATGAGGAAAATTGCAGTATCAAGCAAGAAAAGAGGAGCAAGAAGCAGAAATTTGAGCAGGCCTTCAAGCCTATTAATGAAGAGCAGTACAAGAGATTACCCTTTCCAAAAAGAGTACAAGATCCTAGATTAGAAAAATAGTTTAAAAGGTTCATTGATGTTTTCAAGAAACTCCAAATTAATATACCATTTGCAGAGGCATTAGAACAAATGCCCTCTTATGCAAAGTTTATGAAAGAACTCTTGTCTAAAAAGAGGAAGCTGGATATGGAGAAATTGGTGCCACTAACTGAAGAGTGCAGTGCCATATTGCAGAGAAAACTACCTCAAAAGTTGAAAGATCCAGGGTCATTCAGCATACCTTGCTCCATTGGAAATTGTACAGTTGCAAAAACTTTGTGTGATTTGGGAGCCAGCATAAATTTGATGCCTTTAGCCATTATGAAGAAGCTGGGAATTAAGGAGATGAAGCCGACTGGGATTACATTACAATTGGCTGACAGATCATATACATATCCTTATAGAGTAGTTGAAGATCTTTTAGTCAAAGTGGACAAATTTATATTCCCTGCAGACTTTGTTATACTAGATATGGAGGTTGATGCTGATATCCCTCTTATTCTAGGAAGACCATTCTTAGCAATAGGGAGAGCCTTGATAGATGTGCAAAAAGGTGAATTGATGTTGAGAGTACAAGAAGAAAAATCATTTTTAACGTATTTGAGGCCATAAAACACCCAAGTGATGATATGAGCTGCATGAAGATTGATGTAATAGATGCTGTGATACCACTTTCTTTTGAAAAAAATGATGAAAATGCAGTCTTGGAAAGCACATTAGCTGTAGCAAAATATAATATTTAGGAAGAGCAAGATGAGAAATTAAAAGAATGCATTCTGCAGTTAGATTCCCTTCCCTGTATGAACAATGAAATAAATCAACTCAAGGGAGAATTACCTCAAGCAGAAGAAAAGAAGGAAGAGCCCAAAGTGGAGCTCAAGCAACTACCCTCTCATTTGATATATGTATTTCTTGAAGAAGGCCACAACAAACCTGTCATAATAAACAGCAATCTGCAGAAAGATCAAGAAGAAAAACTCTTGAGAGTGTTAAGAAAGCACAAATCTGCACTAGGATGGCAGATTTCAGATTTGAAAGGTATAGATCCATCTTTCTGCATGCACATGATTTTATTTGAGGAGAATTGCAAGCCTGTTGTCCAACCTCAAAGAAGACTCAACCTAACTATGAAAGAGGTAGTGAGGCAAGAAGTGATTAAACTACTTGATGCAGGAGTTATTTATCCAATTTCAGATAGTTCATGGGTAAGTCTGGTTCATGTGGTGCCTAAGAAAGGAGGTATAACTGTTGTTCCAAATGAAAACAATGAATTAATACCCATTAGGACAGTAATCGGATGGCAAATGTGTATAGATTATAGGAATTTGAAAGATGCATCAAGGAAAGATCATTTTCCTCCTCCATTTGCCGACCAAATGCTAGAGAGATTGGCTGGATTTAACTACTATTGTTTCCTAGATGGATATTCTGGTTACAACCAGATTGTAGTTGATCCAAGAGACCAAGAAAAGACAGCATTCACTTGTCCTTTTGGAGTTTTTGCATATAGGAGGATGCCATTTGGGTTGTGCAATGCTCCAGCCACTTTTCAAAGGTGTATGTTGTCCATTTTTTCTGATATGATTGAAAGAATTATAGAAGTTTTCATGGATGATTTTTCTGTATTTGGTAATTCTTTTGATTAGTGTCTAGCTAATTTATCTCTTGTTTTGCAGCGTTGCCAAGACTCAAACCTTGTGCTAAATTGGGAAAAATACCATTTTATGGTACAAGAAGGGATAGTCTTAGGCCATAAGATTTCAGCAAGGGGAATGGAAGTGGATCCTGCAAAAGTTGAAATAATTGAGAAGCTGCCCCCACCTGTAAATGTTAGAGGAGTAAGAAGCTTTTTAGGACATGTTGGATTCTATTGCAGGTTCATTAAAGACTTCTCTAAAATTGCAAAGCCATTGAGTGAGTTGCTGAGTAAGGATACAAAATTTGTTTTTGATGATAAGTGCTTAGTAGCTTTTAACACTTTGAAAGAGAAATTAATTTCTGCACCTGTACTTGTTAAACCAGATTGGGAATATCCATTTGAACTGCTGTGTGATGCTAGTGATGTAGCTATAGGAGCAGTTTTAGGCCAAAGAAAAGACAAGAAACTGCATGTTATTCATTATGCTAGTAGAGTTCTTAACCCTGCACAAATCAATTATACTACTACTGAAAAAGAACTCTTAGCAATAGTTTTTGCATTTGATAAGTTTTGGTCTTACTTAATAGGATCAAAGGTTATAGTTTACACTAACCATGCTACTCTTAAGTACCTTTTCTCAAAACAGGATGCAAAGCCCAGGTTATTAAGATGGATTCTTCTTCTTCAAGAATTCAAGTTAGAAATCAAAGACAAGAAAGGGAAAGAAAATGGTGTTGCTGATCACTTGTCTAGATTACCACTAGAAGCCATACCTATTGAAGTGGAACAAATAAAAGAAGAATTTCCAGATGAAAGCCTATTCAAGATTAAATCACAGCCCTGGTTTGCTGATATAGCCAACTTCAAGGCTACACATCATGTTCCAAATTGGATGAATTGGTAGCAGAGAAAGAAGTTCTTCCATGACAACATGTATTATGTTTGGGAAGATCCACTGCTGTTCAAAATTGGAATAGATGGACTGCTGAGAAGGTGTATACCAGAGGAAGAGCAGCAAGATGTTTTGTGGCATTGTCACAGTTCAGAATATGGAGGACATCATGGAAGTTCAAGAACAGCAGCGAAAGTTCTGCAATCTGGTCTTTGCTGGCCAACTTTGTTCAAAGATGCTAAGAATTATGTGGAAATGTGTGATAGATTGTTACTTTTACAATTGCTGTTGCACTGAAAGTAAACTGACTAGCAAGTATACTAGTGTTGTTGTAGCAAGTTATAAAAAATCTTAGAATCAAATTGAGTTCCAAGTATCGTCCTCAGGGAATAAAGTTCTCAATTACCACTTCACAAGATCACAATTAGTTGAGCTTTACAAATTTCAGATGGATTTGGTATGAATGTATCAAAAACAAAATTAGAAAGTAAAACAGAACAATTAGTACAAAAGTATATAGTAAACAGATGTAGAAAGAGTAGTTAGGAAATTGTTTCACCAAAACTTCAACATTGAATTAATAAAGTTTTGAACTTTCAAGCATTTAGATGGAATGATAATCAGTTTCACGTCATATTAATCAAAGGACAATCCCTTGCCTCAATGAATCTAACATCTAATCAAATCACTCTAATCCCTTAGATCTAATCCAATCAAATGCTGCATTAAGTTTGAGAAACCAAAATATTGCAAAATTAAGATATCTTATCCCTAAGAAACCAATAACCTTGGCAATTAATTCATATCTGAGAAACAAATTCAATTCCCATTGATAAGAGTTCCTCTATAATTAGTTGATCAAATTTCCATTCAATCACTACTTTAACAGCAGAATCAATCACTCAATCCAATCCAAAACTCAAAGTTCAGATCCAAAATCAATTCAACACTTCCATTTCAGATTCACAATTCCTAACCACAAAGAGTTTAGGCAAACATTACAAAAAGAGAAGAGAAGAGAAGAGAAGAAGAGAATCAACAAAGAAGAAACATCTCCAAGTCAATCTCCAATCTGATCCCTCAAGAAATAAAGCTTGGTGTTTGATGAATTCACTTTTTATTATATTTTTACTTGCCTTTTTGGTGCTCCTTAATAGAAGAAATGGACTTAGATAGTGCAAATAATATAGAAATTACATTTTGAGTAAATATCATAGGTTTATTAATTTTTGGTTAATTTGCATTTAATTACATAGATATAGATTGCAATTTTAATTACTTTGATGAATTTGCGGAATGCCCAAGTTAAATTTGAGAAATCTTGGTGCTTAGATGAAAGTTGCCCCTAAAGTAGCCACTTTTGGGAGCAAAAGTGGCAACTACAGCAAGTCTGGGCATTAAAAGTTCCAAAGTAGCCACTTTCAAGACCAAAAGTGGCAACTCCAGAAGCTCCAAGGATGCTAAATTGGAAGCCTTCCTGCGCGTGGCCACTATTGGCTCTCATAGTAGCCACGCGCACCAAAGTAGCTACTTTCAAGACCAAAAGTGGCAACTTCAGAAGCTCCAGGACGCTGATTTTGAAGCCTTCCTGCGCGTGGCCACTATTGGCTCTTATAGTAGCCACGCGCACCAAAGTAGCTACTTTCAGCACAAATAGTGGCAACTCCAGAGAAGCGGCATTCCTTCCATCCTGCGCGTAGACACTTTCAAGGCCCAAAGTGGACACTTTCAAGGCCCAAAGTGGACACTTTCAAAGGCAAAAGTGGATACTTTGGTGACATGTCATCCACTATAAATAGATTTTAGGAATTAGGGTACGGGACTTTTGACACTTTACACAATTTTTCTTTGCCAAATTGGGACAATTTCTTACGACATTGGAGTCTTGGGTGACAGCCAAGGATCCTCTATAGGTTTTAATTTCCAATTTCTCCTTTGATTGTTGTTGAATTTACATTAATGATGTTTACGTTCTTGCATTTCTTTCTCTCATTTGTGAAGCCCATCCATATGGAGGGCTAAACTTTCTTGTAATTCCTAGTCGATGCACATGAATCTTGAATTCTTGGGATTAATTGCAATACAAATCTTTCTTTCCTTGAATTTATTAACCCCAATCTCTGAATGAAATGGAATTTGCATGAAGGGAACATTGCTTAATGAACCCTAATTTACCTAACGAAATTCTAATTCAAAATTGCTTAATTTTGATTAATCCTTGAGGTTGCTTAATCTTAGGGATAGAGATTGGAGCCCATTAAGATGCTTAATTTTAATTGGGATGTTAAAGTTAGTCTTCGCTTGTTAGATTAACTTAATTCAAGGGAAAGAAAGGGGATTATTGAATCATTTGAAAGAATAATGATAGAACTCATTGCTTGACTAGGGATTACTCATTTTAATTGATTGAATTTCATTAAATTTACATTTCGTTCTTGATTAAAACCCGGAAATTGACAAACCTCCCCCTAATTTACTTGCTTTAAAATACATGTTTACACTTGTTCGATGTATGTTCCCAACCAAAAATTTCTTGGAGACGACCTAGGATAACACCCTAGTACTGCATTCATTTCTTTGCATATTTGATGAGGATTAACGACAATCTTTTGCATGACGAGTAGTAAAATTTGTTTCATCAAATTGGCGCTGTTGCCGGGGAATTATTGGTTCTGAACTTATGTTGAACATGATTGGTGCTCTGTTTTTGTGTTTTGCATGTTAGTACGTTTGTTTCATTTTGAGTTTTTGTATTGTGTTGATAGTCATACGAATTTTATGGTCTGTTTCTGCATTATCATTGCATGATTTTCTGCATCATTTCCTTCATTCAAGTGCTGAAAATTTTCAATCACTCACTTTCAATTTTCTGCACTCATTTTGCTGCATATTTCTCTGTTTTTCTGCACTTTTTGCTGCATAATTCTGCAGAGAAATTTTAAATTGTTCTTGTCATTTCATTTACTCAATTTGCTTTCAATTTAGTTAGTTGATATCTAGTGCATGACCCGATCAAACCCTGGAGATTTGTATCCATTAGACCAGAAGATTGATAGGACTTTTTCTAGGAACCTTAGGACA